CGAATTGTTGTGAGTGGCGGGAGGGGTACAATCGTGAATCCCAACACAACACTTGGGGCCCGGGGGGCTGGAGCCTTTGGAGCCTTTGGAGCGCCAGAGGCCGGAGGCTATGTCCCTGGGTATGGCGTGAGCTTCTGACCCTTCATCGCCTATGACGCTGTCGAGCCGTTCGACACCTCACTTTCGCTGGATAAGAGTCGTGCATGGTGGGACAAGTTCCAGTACACGACCAGCAGTGGGGGTTGGTGGGAGCAGGAGTTGTGCACTCGGCTCTACAGCCGGCTCTCGCATAACCCTGTTACGAAGGCCTGGGTGCAACAGCTTCCGGAGTCGGTCCGTCAGAGTTGGTGATAGCTCTCGGACCGGTTTTACAAGGAATTCTGCCGGTCTACGGAGTCCCCGGTCGAGCGCTACCTTCGCCTGAAGCAGGAGCCTCAGGAAACGCCTCGGACCGTCCTGTCGAGACTCAACGCGGCGGCTACCAAGGCCAACTTGGACTACCATTCCGCCTCCGGGTGCCACCGACATGTGAACCAATTCCTCAAGAACATCTGGGACCGGGATCTCCAGCTAAGCTTGTAGGGACGAGTCTATTTCACCACGGACGAGCTCGAGGATGTCCTTAAGCAGGTCGAGGAGATGGAACAAGGCATGCGCAGGAAGACCGCCAACGACGTGCAGTTGGGGCGCCACAAGTCCCGAGGCACAGGCCCCGGCGCTCCGGCCCGTGGGGGCTCGGGGGCGTATGCCGCCATGGCGGCTCCCGAAATCCCCGAACCCCAAGCTCCAGACCCCGGAGACCTGAGTTGGAAAGATGAAGACGACTCGGGTTACGGGTACCAGTACGACGTGGAAAACGACGAAGCTTATGACGGTATGGTCGATCAAGAGGAGGCGTTCCGCGCTGAGATCCCAGGGCCTTGGAACGACCGCAACGGACGTCCCCAAGGCCGCCCCAACTCCAGGGGCTCGGGACACTCTGGATCTCCCAGACCCTCGATTCCGTGCACCGTGTGCAACAAGCTTGGGCACACTCGGGAGCGTTGTTGGTAGCTGATGAAGTGCGACCGGTGTGGGGGTAAACACCCAACCAGTCAGTGCCGACGCCGGGAGTGCGAAGCGTGCTGCCAGCCGCATCCGGCTGGGGAAGGCAATCATCAAGGCTTTCAAGGACGCGGCCCAGAGAGGACAGCTCCAGGGCCTTCCGGAAGAGGTGTTGCAGAGGTTGCGTCCGGAGGCCGCTCCGGCGTTAAACAATTAGGCTCGCTGGGTAGGGACCCAGTACGCGACGAGCCTAAGCCCCGTCGGACCTGCTGCGCCTACGCGTATGTATGTAGGTCTTAACGAAGCTCAGTGTATGTCAATTGCATCAACACCCACTCTCGAGCCCGGTTCCGTCTACACCAGCCACGTCGCCCCGGACGAAGATGAACTCTCATTCGAACTCCAACCCGGGGGCGCCGAGGCTGGTGGGAAGCGAACTCTTGGGACGACAGCTCCTGTTCACTGGCTTTCGTCCTTGGTTCCATATTCCACCATCGTACCTTGCTCATGCTCGACTCCGGAGCCCCCACCAGTATTATCAGCCTAGACCTTGCGCGTAGGTTAAAGCTGAGGGTGGAGCCCCGGGGCGAGCTACTGCTTAACGGTATTGATGGAGTGAAGACCAAAGTCACGAACATGTGCCGAGTTAAGATAACACTCGGGCACCGAGTGGTCTACACCTTAGATGTCTGGGTCGGGAACTTCGGCCAAGGCATCGACGTTCTCCTGGGGATGAACTTCATGGTCGCCGCTGGAGTCCGGTTGTGCGCTCATGAAGGAAAAGTGGTGCTCCCGGACGAAGAACGGATACTCCTTGTCGGGGGCCCCAACTCGCACTTGGGGCGGACCATTGATGTGTTCATACACGAAAGTCTTTGGTTAGCACCCGGAGACAGCAAGTATATCCCGATCCGGACTTCGGAACCAGACTTCGGGTCCATGGACGTGTGGGTCAGTTGGGAGGACAGTTGGGTGACCTTAGTGTTTTTAACACGAAGTGAGTCTCGGTCGCCGTTCAGGTGGTGAACATCTCCCGGAGACCGGTCCAAGTACTTCCACATACCAAGGTTGCCACCCTTACAGATCGGGATCGGTTGCCTTTGGGGACCAACTTCGTGCACCCGGGATCCTACCAGTACGACGAGCGAGAATTCCTAGTCTACGAGAACACCCGGTCCTCCGTGGCGGAACGCCGCCTGGATGCAGAAGTTCGGGAACTCGAACGGACTGCGCCTCCCATGGTGGACCGGCCGACATACCCAACCCCGACTCGTGTCCTCAGGCGGACCCTGGGGACCCGGGCCGTCGGGCCCGGACCCCCAGTGTGGAAACGGTTCCAAGCCCGACGACCCCCCCCCGACTACACCCGCTCCAGCGCCCGGTGCTGACTGCGTCATGACCGTCTCGTATACACCCCAGGACCGGATGACTCAGGTCTCCAGTCCTTGAGGTGGGGATCCTTGGACCACGAAGTCCAAGCTTCTCCGGGGGGCGAGTCCACTTCAGGGCTCGCAGCCTCTCGGGGTCAGCCCGGAGGCCCCCGAGTCCGCGCCTATGGACGCCCAAGTCACGTTGGCCCGGTCGTTCGTTATGGTGGCGATGGCTGGGGAAAGTCTCGACGCTGACCTCGCCGTCTACTACCACTAAGGTTCTGACTTTGTACTCTTGGACATGCTCAAGAACCAGGTTGCATATCTTCCCGACCTCAATGATCGCCGGTCTGAGGCCAATATCGACGACGCAATCGTCGGTGAGCCCGGGGAGTCGGACCCCGAAGAGGAGGCTTCGGGCAATCCTCCGGAAACACCGGACGATTTTTTTGGGCGAAGGAAACGCACTTCCTGCCCCAGCCCGAGGCGTCGTGTGCGACCTGGAGGTTGGGGACGCAAAACCCATGTCCATGCGGTCCGGAGGATTCCTGCCGACTTACTGTCCAAGGTGTACGAGTTGCTCAAGCGTCTCCTGGAAACTGGTTTGATCGAGTACTCCGACTCGGAGTGGGCATCGGCCATCGTCTTCGTGATGAAGAAGAATGGTACCGATGCCCGCTTGTGAATCGACTACCGGTTGGTGAATTACCCCCTACCCCTAATCGACGAACTCATGAGCAACTTCGCCGCCAATATGTGGTTCATGACTCTGGACATGGCAAGTGGGTTCTGGGCGGTTCCAATGACCGCCCGAGCTCAGCTGATCTCGGCCTTCATCTGCCAGCTCGGACACTTTCAGTGGAAGTGTATGCCGTTCGGGTTGAAGAACGCCCCATTGATCTACCAACAGCTTCTGGACAATTGTCTTTGGGGTTTCGTACGGCTACCCCCTGCAGAGGAACGGCTTGTCGACCCGGAGGTGTTAGAATTCTTGGGGATTTCTCACGAAGACTCGGGCGCCCCGGTATCCCAGGGCACGGAGCCCCGGGGGGCGGTGGTCTCCAGGACCACCACTGACACCATGTTCCACCAGAACCGGGTTGCCCCAGAGCAGATGGGACGTGTGCTGTCCCGGAGTTCGTACATCGATGACATGATCTACGGAGCTCCGTCCTGGGATGACATGTGCAAAATGCTGAATGCCCTCCTATACCGACTGCGGTACTGGAACATTTCGGTGAGCCTTCCGAAGAGCGAGTTCGGGGTCAAGAAATGCAAGTACCTAGGGCACGACATCAGCTCGGATGGAATCTGGACGTCCCCGAAGCTAGCGCAAAAGGTCCTCGACTTGCCGTTCCCGAAGACCCAGAAAGGAGTACAGTCCTTCCTCGGGAGCCTCAATTACTACGCCAAGTTTAACGAGGGTCTACCCGTACTCGCGGCCACTCTCTACGAAGCATCGGACGAGCAACTTCGTTCCGGACGAGACTTGGAGAAGCCCAAGCATGCGTTCAAGATACTCAAGGACCGGCTAGTGTCGACGCCACTGCTCCAGCATCCCGACCCCCGGGAGACAGTATGTAATAATATTGCATGCCAACCCCTGGGCCATCAGTGCGGTTTTGGGGCAGGATCACGACGGCACCATACTACCTGTGCGGTTCGTGGGGCGAGTTCTCCAGGACGCCGATCTCCGGTACCACCCCGCCGAAAAGGAAGTTTTAGTACTGCTCCGCGTCCTGAACACATGCCACACGATGATTACCAGCTGTTCCGAGAAGAAAATTCGCGTGTACATCCGGTACTCGGTGCTGGTATGATTGTTCAAGTCCTAGACGGTGGACGGAAGATGCCTCAAGTGGGCGGTCAATCTGTCTCCCTGGGACCTCGACATTCGACGAGTTGAGAACGACGAAGATGGCTTGGTAGCGATCCTGGGGGCAGGTATCAGCCCCCGGGAACGCCTCGACGAGGTCGCCGAGACCTTGGGTTTCCGGATCAAGACACCGCTAGTCAGCCTGGAGATGCTCTTTAGTGACCACATCAGGCACTTGTTGAGCTTCGACGGAGCCGCCAAGAGAGATGGGTCGGGGGCGCTGCTTGCATCCTCTAGAGTCTCCCGAGTTGGGAAATTGTCGCGGCCGCAGGACACTTTCTGGAGAAAGCTACCGTGAATGAAGCCAAATACTCTGGACTAGTCAAGGGAATGCAACTTGCTCGACACATGGGGGTCCAAGAATTGGTTGTGGTCGGGGACTCCCGACTTGCAATACAGCGGCTCCGAGGCGTCATTGGCTGTACCCATCCCCACCTTTTGAGGTTACTCCAGGTGGCTGAATGACTCCAAGCTAAGTTCAAGTCCGTACGCCTAGTGCACATGAAAAGAGATTTCAACGCTGCTGCCGACTACATCTCCAAGCGAGTCATCCAAGACCAGTCATCATTGGAGGTCACTGACCCCGGGGAACGCAAGTTGCTCCAAGGCCTGAATCGGATCCACGAAAACATGATGAAGGACCCGAGCCCCCGAAAACAGTCGCTGGTGGAGTGCGCGTTCTTAGCCACGGCTCGGAATATACCCAAGCACTCCCCAAGAGGTTCAGAAGGCGACGTGTTCGTGGTGACACGTTCGAAGTCCAAGCAGGCCAAGGCCACAGAGGATTTGGTTCAGGGAACCGGAGCCGACGATTCTGGAACCGACAACCCCGGAACCGTAGACCCCAGGTCCAATGCCTTCGGAACCAACGAGTCGGGAGCCGATGACCCTGGAACCAACGAGTCGGGAACCGACGGTCTGGAGGACGAGCCGACAGCCGCTCCCCGGAGCTCCGACTGCCAGGACTCTGAAGAAGACCCTGAAGACGTCTGCAGAGACGATGGAGGAGGATTTGCTCTCACCAGACACACGACCCGGGGCTAGCGCCCTTGGTGAAGTTCCTCCGGGGCGAGACCGAGCAGTTGTCCCTGAGACAAACGACACACTTGGTCAAGATAGCGGACCAGTTTGTGTTGGACTCCCGGGACGCCTCGTTCTATGTGAGTCGGAACACCCCGGAACGTCCCCGAGACGCCGCAGATTGCCTCCGCCTGGTAGTCCCCCGGGACCTCCAGGAGGACAGTCTCCATCACTGTCACGCGGACTTCCAAGGTGGATCATCCGGACCTACGAGAGATTGCGCAAGGAATTCTATTGGATCGGCATGTTCAAGGACACCGAGCGATACGTCAAAGAGTGCGTTGACTGTGTCACGGCTAAGTGACGCGAGGCGGGTGAACGCCTGAACCGCTCAAGTGTATAGT